TAATTTCATTATATTTTACACAGCATTATGAAAATAATAGGGAAACTTTTCTACAAAGTATCATTATTCAGTAGACACTTATGAATTAAAAAAGCGTGTTACATATTTTTGCTTTTCGTGTATTGTAGTTTGTAGTTGGTGTTTTGAAAATATTAAAAATTTATCATGTAAAGAAAATTGGAGACTGTTGCTGTAAATCAGCAGGTTGTAGCCAATAGGCTAAGCAGCTGAGGAAATTCCTCAGTAGAAACCATAGGACCAGTATCTTCTACAGCCCAGGGGGCGGCAACAGCCATAACCATAGCCACCATAGCCACCATAGCCATAGCCACAGCCATAGCCACAGCCTAGGCCGCCATAGCCATAGCCCAGGCCACCAAAGTAGCTGCCGTAGTAGCACATGGTGTCAGGAGTGAATTGCACAGTTGAGGATCTAGAAGTTGGTGTCTTGGTCTGGATGTCGCTGTCTGCAGGGGCCTTTTATACCCCCTTGGTGGTGGGCGGGGAAGCCGCAGGCAGTGCACCATCCTATCATGTGACCAATGAGCTTCAGACAATGTCATAAAGGTCTTTACTAACTGTGAAAACAAAATCCTCATTACTGAAATCATTTGGCTCCTATGCCAGGAATTCACCATCCTATTATGGCCCTTAAAAACAAAATTGAACGCATGACATGATTACAAGTTATGGTACAAAGCATGAAAATAGCACATTTTATTTTTGTTTTGTCTCCATTCCTCCACAGGTACTAGTATTTCCTTTCTTTCTTTTCTACTCCCTCCCTCCTCCCTTCCTTCCTCCCTTTGTACTTCTATATTTCCTTTGTTTGTCTCTTCACCCCTTCCCTTCCTCCATCCAACCCTTTCATCCTTCTTTCTTTATGCCCCATACTTTCTGAAACTCTTATCTCTAGAAAATTCTTGATTCTTACTCAGATGGGCTGTTACTGCTAATTTTGGGGTAGATCATATCATATGTGTTTGCAGTTGAAGTTTAATCTGAAATTATTCCTTGTGTAATGATTTTAAACTTCCAAAAAATAAGTAACCACTGTACGGGTAGTAACTCTATATATTCTGTGCTTGTCTGTGTCACTCCATATACCCGTATTACAGATATAATCAGAAAACTCCACAGTTCGGTTAGATGCTCCGTCCACAAATCTGACTTATGTTTTTCATACTTCTGTACTAAAAATCAGTGTTTACCTTTGAATAGGCTACAAGCACAGATATCCGCCTGTCCACAGTGAGCTTAGAGCAAGTGATAATTGTAACCATACATGAAGGGGCAGGCACGTATAGTACTGTACTAATGGTGAGAAAGGAAAGAATAATCCCTGCTGTTTAATACCCTAATTTAGTGTTATACAAACTCTTATGGTTTGGGGGTATAATATTTCATAGAGAAACATTAACATCCATTCATTTCCACACGGTCTAGGGGTACTTTGACACCACATCACATAATGTAGTGTTGAGATACTGACAGAGAAGCCTCCAAATTCCAAAATACTGGCTTTTTATTCTTATAAAATACTGTCTACATTCCTCGAACTGATATGTAAGAACACTTACATTGCTTGTGCACACATCACTTTTCCAAAAGTTAACTTTTTACCTTCAGTAGTTCTACTACCCACTCAATTTTTGTATTTTCTGACTCTCACAGATTCGTTGACTTATGACAATCTGTTGCAATATATTTTAATATTTCTTCTCTCCTAATGAGGTAAGTAGCCTAGAGCTATGTGTTCTGTGCATATTGTTTTACATGAGCTCATATATCTTATGAGCTCTGTATCTCATGAGCTTCATGTATCTCATGCATCCTATGAGTTCCATGTATCTCATTTTTTGTTTGTGAAAAACTCAGAAGGAATTATAATTGTTATAAGTACATGACTATCATTCCTTTTCATTTTAATTCATTACTTTTCAATGTACTTTTTGTCTCAACTCTCCTCTCCCTAGCAAATCCATCATTTCTAATTTTGAACAACTGAAAAAATGTGTTTTCCACTATTCATCATAACAATTTTATTTTCTTCATCATTGAGAGCATGTTTCATATTTCACTTATGCCTTTTACTTTATTTTGTCATGTGAGCATTTTTGACCATGAGAAATCCTACATTGCTGCCTGCACATAATTGTTCTTAAGTTATTGCTACTTTTCCTTCCAGCTCTCTTTCTATAGACAGTTTCACTGTCAGTTTTATCTCTTAGTAAGTAACATATTCATTTAATTAAAAATACGATTTGGGCTTTGTACTTAATTTTTAGTTAATGAAAGATATGCGTACATATCATTTTATTTTTTCTTTCTGTTTTCTTTTTCAAATTTTATTTTATTAGTACGTATTTGCAGTACCTAAAGTTTGCATTCATCTGAGGAGTATTTGCATGGACAAAGCAACTTGGTTCTCTTTAATCCTTTACTCCTCCCCACTGAGCTCACTCCAACCCTTGCTAATGCCCCTTTCCATTCTTTTTATTGTCATCCATATTGTTGTAATTGACATCCTTCCCCTTGGCAGTGAATAGCCTTGGTGATTTGCGGAGAAATGTTCCACTTTATATTTGTTTCTTTTACTGAATTCTAAATACTATACAGTTTTCCATCTCATGATATCTTGCACAGCCTTTGTATACTATTTAGTATATTGCATTCCACTTTTGTTATTTAGGCTTTAGTTGACTATACAGTACTAACGTATATTTCAGTTTTATAATTTACTTAAATTTATTGGATTCTTAACTGTATTACCTTTGATTTCATGCTGAATTTTTCCACCTTAATATATATGTATATAGTAGTTATGTTTCTTAATCTATTTTAATATTGCAAATTCCAATATGCTGTTTATATTTTAACTAGAATTTATAATTCATTGCCTCTTTTGTAGTTTTATTCAGTGTTCTCTGTGGTCAAAATTTTTTATTCAAATGATAGTCCACCCAAAATAGTTCTAGATTTCACCATATAGATTTCCGTGGTTCTTAGAAAATGTACATTTGTCTGAATTTATTGAATTGCTAACTATATAACTCACTTTTTTGAGAACTAGAATTTAAATTTAATTTATGATGAATTCATTTTTATATGTCAAATATCCTTTAATGACTTTTTATTTATGAATTATATCTGTTATATTATTTTTCATTTGTGAAGTCCAGTATGTTATTCATTTTAGTTAGATTTTATTATGTTACCTCTTTTCCATACTTCCACAAAATTTTCTATTGATACTGTTTATTAACATTATGAGGATCCATAAATACACTGGATCTCACATGGGAAGTTGTTTTGGTTGCACCTAGACTCTTGGAACACGTACGGTTTTCTGGGCTGGGTGTGGTGTCCCTCATGTATAGCTCTTTGCCTCTGGAAACTTAGTTGAAGGAACACTTGTGCTCAGAAATTGTTGGCTGTGCAATACACAGTTACAGATTCATCTACAAAAAGAAAGGAGAGAAGAAAAAAGAATGAGAAAGAAAGAAAGAAGAAAGAAAGAAAAGGAGGGAAAGAAAGAGGTAGACCAACTGCCATATTTCAAGCAAAGACTATCATGGGATAAGGTTCTTGGCCAGGATCTGTTTAACTCTAGGCCTACCTTATAAGAGGTATTTTTTTTTCAATTGAGAGTGGCTCTTAGCAAGTTCTGAACTCTCTGGATTATTTACTCCACAGTTTGATATGGGTAAAATCTCTTAAAATAGTCTACTCTCCTCTTAGGATACAAACCTATGCAATTTCAGAATTTGTCAGTTATCTCACGGTAAAAATTGTTTCATGTTAAACTCGATATTTTGATGTTATATCATTTCCAGGATGGTATTTTTTTAAGTTTTTATTTTTTATTGCTCATCTTCGCAACACAGAATAATCAGATCCTCCGTAAGTAGTTGGTACATGTATGCAATAAAATTTAATAAGTTTTTCATCTCTATCCCAGTCCATTCTCTCTCATATATTGATTCCCTATTGATCCAACTGTAATTTGCTAAACTTAAGGGTGGATATAAAATTTGGCTGGTGTTTCTCCCTACCTTTGACTCCTTCCACTCTCCCCTACCTTCTTTTCCCTTTCTGTCTTAATATCTTTCCCACAACTTAACAACCACACACTTGTAACGAATCACACAAAAACATATAAGCAAAACTCATAATATAGCAGCCAACAACAGCAACAATTATGATGAAATAATTTATTTAATAATAAATCTGTTTATATAAAACTTGAGGGTTTAATTTCATTATATTTTACACAGCATTATGAAAATAATAGGGAAACTTCTCTACAACCTATCAAATTATTCAGTAGACACTTATGAATTAAAAAAGCATGTTACATATTTTTGCTTTTCATGTATTGTAGTTTGTAGTTGGTGTTTTGAAAATATTAAAAATTTATCATGTAAAGAAAATTGGAGACTGTTGCAGTAAATCAGCAGGTTGTAGCCAATAGGCTAAGAAGCTGTGGAAACTCCTCAGTAGAAGCCATAGGACCAGTATCTTCTACAGCACAGGGGGCGGTAACAGCCATAACCATAGCCACCATAGCCACCATAGCCACCATAGCCACAACCACAGCCATAGCCATAGCCCAGGCCACCAAAGTAGCTGCCATAGTAGCACATGGTGTCAGGAGTGGATCGTGCAGTTGAGGATCTGGAAGTTGGTGTCTTGGTCTGGATGTCACTGTCTGCAGGGGCCTTTTATACCCCTTTGGTGGTGGGTGGGGAAACCACAGGCAGTACACTATCCTATCATCTGACCAATGAGCGTCAGACAGTGTCATCCAGATCTTTACTAATTGTGAAAACAAGATACTCATTATTGAAATCATTTTGTTCCTATGCAAAGAATCCACCATCCAATTATGTCCCTTAAAAAACAAACTGGACATAACAAAATATGTTTGATGAGTTAGATATGTTTAACTGATTGAAACATTATTCAAAGAATTCATACACCAAAATATCAAATGGTACCCCATTAATATGCATAATTTTTTGTTCTTAAGTTTCAGCTACAAATAATCATAAGATGACTCCTCAAATCTTAAAGATAAATAGCACTAATATATTTTTCATGTGTTTTGGAGCTCACTAGAATTAGACCAACATAATCTGGAAAATAAGAATCAATAAACTTTTAAGGAAGACAAGAATCACTTGTAAAAAACCGAGATCTACAATTTAATGAAAGCCAGATTATTTTGGCCTCTAAATGCAATATGATTATAGCAATGACTGCCTTAGATACCTACATTTGTATGCTAGGAAATATGTAAATGATTTTAAGCTCGATATTCATAACGATTTAAAATCAGAAATAAAAATAGTTGGCAAGTGTAAATAGGTAAATTCTTTTATGCTTTATACTGAAATTGTATACAGCAGAAGAGAAACAAATAGTAAAATTTATAAATGTTTTAAAAATAGATCAAAAGAAGCCTATTTGTGCAAATCTATTTGTGCTATTATCAAATATTGGCAAAAAATAAAATCCACAATCTTCAAAATCGGAAAAGGTTTTACTTAAGAGCTACCACTAAATAGAAACAGGTGTAGTCAAAAGTATAATCACTTTCTGGCACTGGGACAAAATATTGACACGCACAGCTCGAAAGAGGAAGGGTTTAATTTGTCTCACAATGTCAATCCATTGATCCAATTATCTCTCTTGGTTCCACCTCTGAATATTGCTATACTGGGGATCAAACTCTTAATACATAAGGGCATGAGGTCTTGTTATTTAAGCCATAAGAGTAGTATTCTGAGATATGAATGCCATGTGAGTTTTGTATCAAATTCTGATTAAGAAGTACTTTGTGTCTGAAAATTCACCATGCTCTAGTATTAAGATGTTTTTGTACTTTTATGTGATATAATATACAAGAATGTGGTTCTTTTAAAGACCATGAAAATATGATCAAATACACAAGGCAGGCATGAAAATATGATCTGCTAGACAAGGCATGCCTTCATCTGAGAACAGCTGAACAAATTGCCAGAATTGTGCTAACAAATTACTGTTGGAAAGAAAGTGCACAGTACTTCTTACTTTCAAACATCCAGAAAATGTGAACAGAAAGCATATATTCTCCACTTTCACTTTCCTGTCTTATCTACATTATTGTGCAATATTTATTGCATTACAAGCCAATAGTGATGCATTATGATTAACTAAAGAGTGGAGTTTACCTTCGTTGCACATTCTAGGGAACTGAAATTGCATAATATATCCGCAGGACTGGTGACCTGCAGAATATTTTCATTATCCTAAAATCATCCCTTGCTTTACGTATTTATTTTTCCCTTTCCCTAAAATCTGTGGTTAGCCCTTAAACATATTATTGGCTAACTAGTTGTATCTTTTTCAGGTGTTACAGAGCATCACAGATATATAGTCTTTTCAGACTGGCTTCTTTAATGTATCAACATGCATTCAAATATCTTCTATGTTTTTCCTTACCTTGATAGTTAATTTCTTTTTAGTGCTGAAAAATATTCAATTTTCAAGATATACTACATTTTATCCACTCACGCAATATAGGACATTGTAATTGGTTCCAATTTTAGGCAATTATGAATAGCTTCTGTAAACCTCTATACACAGGATTTCATATGGATGTACATTTTCAATTCTTTTTGATAAATATTAAGAAACATATTTGCCAGATTGCAAAGTATATTTACTTTTGTATGAAACTGCCAAATTCTCTTCAAAGTAGCTGTACTATTTTGCACTAACACCAGGACGAACAAGCATTCCCATTACTCCCCATCTTTGTCAATATTTGGTATTTTTAGAGTTTTAAGTATTACTAGATCTGTAGTAGTGTCTCATTGTTATAATTTGTAAATTTTTAATAGCATATGATAGCATCTTTTCATCCACTCATTTATTATTTATAATTCTCTTTGGTGTCTGTTCAGACTACTGTCCATTTGTATCTGAGTTGTTTGTTTTCTTGTTATGGAGAAAATGCCTCATGTTAAAGTCGAAAGATCTGCCTTCAGGCATCCTGATGTTGCAGGAAAGAAATTGTGGTTACAAAGACTTCATTTAGGGCTGGGGAATTAGCTCAGCGGCACAGCTCCTGCCTGGCAAGCACGAGGTCGTGAGTTCGATTCCCAATACCGAAAAAAAAAACAAAGACTTCATTTAACCCTGTGGATTAAGAGATCTAAAAGATTTCTACTGAAAGTTATTACTTTTTTTCTCACAAACTATAGGAGATAGCATATTCAAAATTGAAAATGTTATGCCCCCGATGTGAAAATATTTAAGACAGGAATGTGAAAATGTGTATGTTATTCAAAATTATGATTACTTCATGCATCATAGTTATAGCATTATCTGGAAAGTACTCTCTTCCACACTTTTCTCACAATGCTTTATACTGTGTTAATGATTTTACAAGGTTACAATGAGCATAGAAATTAAAGATACTGTAAATCAAATGATAACATAAAATCCAACATTTACCAAATTGCCCAACATATATTCAGCACCTTGAGACTATTAAGAAAATGAATTAATAATATGGGGAAAATCATACTTCCTTCTTTCATGATTAATTGGCTTTACCAAATTTAGGCTATCTGAATAACCATCTTCATGATCTTAATTTCAGGTTTAAAAGCACCATTTGTGACTCAATGGTACTTTTTGTCTTTTTATATATAAAGGGAGGTGAAGGATTCCTGATAGGAATGTGAGCCCTTCTGTATAGGGGCCGGATGCAGTGACAATCACTACCATCTATTTCTGCCATTCTTAGGAGTTGACAGAGCAAATGACTTGCAATCGTTTTACCTTGTTAAGGCACATTCAGCGAAGGACTTATCAATGAATTAGGGTGGTTTTGACATGTTGTATTTACCTCCACATAAAATTTCTGAACGTATGGCCTGTGCATATTTTATTCAATAAATAGAAATTTTCCAAGTAAAATATTCAAATTATGAACTGCCTGCACTGATGTTTCTCATTCCCTTAAAAGATGTTAGTGAGTGTGCCCTCATTTTTCACTTTGATGTAGTCACTTCATAGTGCAAGTCTTTTCAGTCTTATAAAAGCTGCTACCCCATTGTCTATTTGGTTTCTTTGTATACCATATAAAAAGTTCCTGATTATATTAATGTTGCATTTGGATGAGCATAACATCTCAATGCATATTGAAGCTATTACTTTATTTTTCTCTAGATTTATTTTTATTGCACATCAAACAAATTTACCTTCAGACATAAAATACATCTGAAATGTATTTTTTTATGCAGTGTGGGATGCAGATCACATGTTGAAAATAATGTTTTCCAATGACACTTATTATAGGGTCTATCTTTTTCCATCATGTTTTGAAGCTTACTTGTATCTCATGTCTAGTGACTGCATACTGTTGATATCTCTGGAGCCTTCATTTTCCTACTTGGTCTTGTTTTCCATTATGTACCAATAAAACAGTCTTTATTACTGAAGCCGAATAATAAATCATGGCATCAGATATGTAAGTCTTTTACTTTGCCCTTCCTCAGCATTGTCTGAACACATTGTCTTTGACCTTACTATAAAATATGTAAAGTCATTGTTATTGTTTGTGTCTAGATGTCTCCCCAAAGCCTTATACAGTTCTGAGGACAGACTTTTTCGAGGTTGCTCAAGCTAGAGTTTATGATCGATTCACGGTCCAATGCTGGGATTATGGTTGTGAGTGCTGCACCTGCCCTACTGTGGGTAGCCTGCATACAATATAAGGGACAGAAAGAGTCTTTCCTCTATCATCATCTTCTTCTTCTTCTTCTTTCTTCTTCTTGTTCTTCTTCTTGTTCTTCTTGTTCTTCTTCTTCTTGTTCTTCTTCTTGTTCTTCTTGTTCTTCTTCTTCTTGTTCTTCTTCTTCTTCTTCTTCTTCTTCTTCTTCTTCTTCTTCTTCTTCTTCTTCTTCTTCTTC